TAATTAATTTTTGTTACCTACCTTATAATTAAAAGGGTTTGTTTATCTCTTCTAATCATTAATATTCGAAAAGTTTTCGCCAGCCTCAGAGCTCTCGTAAAGTTTCCGATGCAAACTGTCACAATTATCGAAAACAAACGTCAAAGAAGTACGGTCACGCCCCATAGAAAAAAACCCAGACCCGACAGAAACGAGACATATCTCAGTTTTTTAGTTATTTATTATATAGTTAAATTATATATTTTTTTATATTCGATATCAATGGCTAACTCCAAAATATTGCATTATGTTTTTGTTCAGGCGTTACTCTAAAAAAATACAAAAGCCTATTTATCTACAAAATTCGTAAATGCATGTAACTAAATGACGATACAATAGTTGTAGGATGTATCTAAGTGACCTTTATCCGAACGTTAAATGTTAATAGCGTTTATTGGTTTCGGTGCGAGAAGTTATCGAATCCGAGCCGATTTCGCTTTCCGAGACGATTGTGAATAGCCCTGCAGATAGAGAAACTGACGTTTTTGTAGCTTGCTACATATAAATTTATCTATGCCTTTTTGTAGGGGTGTCCCCTTTGAAAATACATCGATGTTTTTTTTCGATGTGATGCATCGAGACTGTGCATCGATATATTCCGCTGCATCGGTGAGAAGCATCGATGTTTTTTCAACATCGAGTACTTTTTATGACTTTACATTATAAATCTGTAGTTAACTTCCTGACACCCCATTCAAACAACCGACAATTTGGAATGATCTCTTATTCATACATGTGTGTGTTCAAGGATGTTAGACAGTTAGATAGATATTCTTTATTGCACGAAACACAAAGTATGTTGTACGAGTTTTCACACAAGAAAAATCGTGCATATGGCGGACTTAATGTCTTAAAGCATTCTCTCCCAGTCAATTATTTTCAATTAGTTATTTATTTTTTATTTTGTTTTTATTCTATACCGCTACACCTACGTCAAATTCTCATCACTCTATGGATTGACTGGTAAAGAATGCCTCAAGGTATTATGTCCGCCCTTTGTATTCTTTTATATTAACGAATGCAATAAATAATAAATAAATTATTACCTACTACTAAATGGACGGCGGGCTTAGAATAAAATTTACGAAAAATGTGTCCCGAGTCAACCTATATAAGCGTATTATATATTTAATTTTACTTGCGACAATTTATCTTTAATTAATTTAAATACTTACGTATCTTGTATCTAAGCAAAATATTACTTTTAAATTATTAAATATTAATAGTCCTTATCGAAAATATATACAAATATAGATAGTTTGGCGCATTTTATGATACAGTACGGCATTTTGGAGTGTATTACCGGTCGACAAAACGAAGCCTGGCGCGCAATATTGGAACTTTTTGCATTTTGGAACACTTTTGACTCGGACAAAGCGCAGAGCCGAAGTTCATTTAGTCAATGTTTATGATATTATTTTAAATGAAAAAAGCATGCATCACAATAAAAATACTTACATATGGAATATAGCTCCATCTTTTTGCAAATTTTAAGTATTTTGACTGCTTTAGGCATACGTTAACCGCATTTTTCAAAGAACACCTACTTCGGCGGAAACGATTATCGTATATTATAAAATCGATATCGTATACAGTTTTTATAAACGCACAAGCTTTTAAATTCAATACCTTGGCAGAGGGGAATAATCATGCAAGGTGAGTCCACTGGGTTAAATGGTCTAAAGGCGGCTACTCACTTGCCTGCCGCAGGAGCAATCTAGGGTGTAGGCATAGGGATGACCCTTAATTGTCTCCTTAACTGTGATGTGTTTTTTTTACAGGATAGGGTGACAAACGAACGCACAGTCCACCTGATGATAAGTGGTTGCTGTGACTCATAGACATCTACATTTATCCTCGATAAAGAATCAAAATGCAGATGCGTTGTCGCCCATGAGGACTAAGATGGAATGTCTCTTTTCCAGTAAAAAGGGTCTCCGGTTCTCTACACTCACCATACGAAACACAGCAGTGTAAAGCTTCTATTTTACGCTGGTATTCTGTGAGAGCGTGGTCCTTCCCCGGTCGAGCCGACCCATTCGTGCTACAACTATACTTCTAATGCCAAGCCATGCTACAGCTTTTAAGGACTACGTTATTGCTGTAATTAATAATTAATTAGTTGTTTTATCAATAAATATGGGTATCTATGTATTACAGTATCCACTTAACATCAGGTAGACTGTGCTCATCTGTTACCCTTATTCTTTTTTCTTATATAAAAAGGAGCCATGGCTATATTTACCATTATTTTGATTCATTAATATTTTGATAAAACTGGCGCCATTCTCAACGCGTGTGTCCAGCAAGACGTATACTCTCACACTGAACAGCAGGCATGTGTGTAGAGACAGTTCTGATATTGCCCCGATCGCTGTTCATCCTAGATTGCCCCTGCGGCACGCAAGTGAGTTAGTGAGCCGCCTTAAGACCGAGACAGGCCAGATGATTTTCTTTAAATTCTCTTTAACATACATTGAGATATAATGTACTACGTACTAGAGAAGTTATTCCGAACAAAAACTGTGCACTACTCTATGTCATTGCGCATGCGCGGTAAATAGTATAGTCGCGCATGTTTTTGTCGTCATAGATTATATACGTATGTAGAATGATCAGTATGTAATAAGCAAATGTTTATTTAGATTGTATTGTAAATTGTATTGAGTACAATTTTTTAAATTGTTATTTATATTGCATAATGTGTTAATATAATGTAACATAATATTATGTCAGAATTACATTTTAATTATATTTTATTTAATACTTTAAAAGGTAAATATGTAGAATATAAAAATATGCATTTATTTTCAAAGATCATTATTATTACTTTTCTAGCATTCTCTAACGTATTTATACGCAGCTGGTGAATAATAGTGTAAAATCAATGCGAATTTACGTAAAGGTGCATGCAGTGTATAATTGATAATGCGTGCTCTGTTTATTCTTTTTCGTTAAAGATTTATGTTACTCCATAACTTCTGCTTTACCCATTAAATCAATCTCAGCATTTAAGTTGAGACCGAATTTATGTTTCAAATTTTCTACAATTGATTTGTAAGAAGCACATTTTTCTTTAGATAAATATTTTGTCTTAAATTTCTCAGTAAATTTCTTTCTAGCTGCAGATTCCTTGCTATTAATTAAATACAAACACAATATTACAACGTGCTTATATTTTATTATTTTTATAATAACCTAGAATTATTGATTCCGTTATCAAGGTAGAACTATATTTAAAAGCTTAGGCTTCGTATACATCAATCAAACTTAGCTTAGGAGACATCACTTGCGTAATTTATTTTTATGTACAATTTTGCTCGGACTATCTAAAATTGAATTTGTACTGCTTATTGATTGAGACAACGGTTCTGATACTTCCTGTTCACCACATTTTGTTGGCTGAAAAAAAGATACTAGTTATTTAGGAAGCCTGCAAAAGTTCTAGTGTTACAGTATTAAAAAACCGTCACATACTAGAATGACTCGCGCGCCGAGGTTTCCGCCTCTCTTAAGTCCCGTAAATATACTGAACATTACAAAACATTCGTTCGTCGTCTAATCAAAAAATAAAACAAAAATCCCAGCAATGTTATATAATTATATAATTACATTGTCGCATGGTACTGCTTATTTCTTGAAGTACACTCTTCCTGTTTTTGCGGTGTATTTGTCATTTTTTGAACTGCACGGAATATATGCGTGAATAATCTGACGTTTCTTCGCTGCAATTCTTCTCAACAAATTTGATCCATGATTATTTTGTTTCATGACACAGCCGAGGAAACCATTAAATAAAAATAATAATAAAAAATATTAATTTTAATGCATTAACATTTCCTACAGTGATTATATATAAATATTTTATTGTTCATAATTACTTAACATTATACGTCGATAGTGTCAAGTCTGCGAATAAAAATGTTTTACTCTTTGACATTCACGTATACGTTGCAGTTGATAAAATATAATTAAATTAAGCGTGTTTTAAAGATAATAATAAGTTTAAATTACTGGTGAAAATTCACTCCTTGACTTTTCCTTATATTTCTCCAGTAGTTTGAACAGTATTTCAATGCACACGAAGGCATTTTAATTTAAAAATAATTCTTCACTCTAACTTCTCACGTTGCACCAACCGCTTGACACAGACTAAGTGAGTTTGAGAGCGCGCACTCTAACGCGTGTTACAAACAATCGAGTTAAGGCGTCTTCTCTAGTACGTAGTACGTTATATCTCAATGTTAACATACAACACGCCAATCTCAATTTCTTGATTCCGCTAAGGTACTTACAGCTGCCAACTAGCGCCACCAACAGGTTTAATATTATAACTTCTAAATGAGAGCATGTTTTACTTTTTCTGATTTAGAAGTTATAATATTAATAGTGATAGACAAGTATACCTTTTTACAATTGACTGGTTACCATTGATTCGATGTATTATGAAAATACATCGATACATCGAGTATATCAATAACTTTCCAAAACATTGGATCGATTCGATGCATCGTATTGTAAACATCGAGTCGTAGTGTTTCTATATAGTTTGTGCATCGAGTGAATTCGATGCATCGATGTCACAGAGTACATTGTATATGATCGATGTATATCGAATATCCTTAGTTTTTGTGTAATGTCAAAAGAGGAACATTATTCGAGGAAATTGTAATATTTGTTCATAATTTTCTCAAAAAAATAGATGTTTCCAAGCGTTAAAATTTTGTACACATAAACTATAGGAGTAGACCTTTCGAATAGACACTTATACATTTGATAGTTGAAAGTGTTAACTTATGGTAGTTAAATCTAAAGGTTAGCCATAAGAAGTACTAGCACGCTGAAAAGACCCAAGAGTCAAGAATAGGAAAAAAATTCGTTAAAAATCTGGCATACTCCCGACAATAGAATATTTTCTTTGAAAATTAAAGAACATAGAAAAAAATAAATTAACCTGAGTGATGTCTGACGCCAACGATAAGAAAAAGGCTTTACTTATATGCTTAGGTAAATATTTTACAAAATATCTTTTCTAGCCTATCAAAAATCCGCTGAACAGAGAGGCCTATCTCTGTCATCTCGGGCCATACATCAAATAATATGGGGTAGTGTATTCCCTTTCGCTGCCATCACACGGCTAAATATTTTAGTGTTTATTATTATTTACGATCGTATAAGTGTGTAACATTTGTTTCTCGTAGGTAATATTTGCCGCTCCCCAATAGCGGAAGGTGTATTTCAAAAAACAGTAAATGATATGGGAATAGGAGATCAATGGGAAATTGATAGTGCAGCCATAGGTAGTTGGCATGTTGGTAATCCGCCTGATTGGCGAGCATTGGATACCATGAAGAAACACAGTGTACCTTACAATAACAGTGCTAGACAGGTAAATTACGCTTATACTCCACCAAATCTAAGAAATACCCTTTGACAGCTGTCACATTTATTGGTCTAGGCATACCAACTGAAAAATCGGTACCTAGAATATTCTATTCTTAAGAGATATCTATATATAACCTGTCGGAAATATCTGCGAACCTGGCTTGATGACGTCATGCAATATGGAGAGATGGCAACGGTACTGGATAGACGATAACGGGCGGAGGTGCGGGGAAGCGCGAGGGGAAGCGCATTCCAGCGAGGTTCGCAGATATTTCCGACAGGTTATAGGTTCTTTAGAGTTGGTAATCATTAATTTACAGTTTTATCTAGATTAATACTGGAATAAATTAGAAACAGGTAATACAAAATTTATCAGTATTTTTCATACTTATTGCTTACTGCTAATTTTGGGAAATAAAGTGATATAAATCAAAGAGTAAATTAAAAACAAATTTGTTTAATCACTTACACTACAACTTTCAACAGTTGAGCTGTTGTCATCATTGTCATTGCTTACATTAATTATTATTTGATTTTCTATAATGCATTCAAAATTAAACTCTTTTTAATTATTATTTGATTTTCTATAATGCATTCAAAATTAATCTCTTTCATAGTCGTCCATAACAATTTTCTTCTTTTCTTCTTTCAACTTGGCCCAGTGATTGCTTGTTTTGTAGTTTTATTTTCTACTAATCCTCCCCTAAGGTGCCATCTTTCATCAATACATTTAACATTTTCCCAATTAGTTATATTTTAATTTCTCGTAAAAATGTTATGCATTCATCTAACTAATTATTTTGCGTTTTGCGATGTCAATTTCTTATCAAATTGTTCCCAAAGAGTCATTGAGAACCATACTACCATTGTACAAGCTGGCATCATCTAAACTTACTTGTAACTTCACTACAGTGGGATTCACAGAAATTATAAAAAGATTAGACTTGTTTAACCGATTTGTTGTGGCACCAATTTTAGACAACTTTTAGCTGTGGCGACGAACAAATATTTCATGACACGCCTGACGTGTCAATCGCCACAGACACGCCTATACTGCCCTCAGCCATGTGTAAAAATAATTATCTTTTTTATGCTTTTTTTACTTGTTTAGACCTAATTAAGTTTAGTTGACATCAAACATCAGTTACAAACGGAAGGATACTTGTTTTTAGTGGATAACTATGTGTTTTTCTACGTGTTTTCGTTGAAATTGAGAGTAAGTTACTTTTTTTATGCAGAGATTACAAACATATTGTACTATTTTTGTTTTATAAAAAATCATTTATATAAGTAGGTACAGCTAAATCACCCTGGAAAACCTTGGTTTTTATTTAATTAAATTTTTACCTAATAATAATATTTGTAAATATCAAACAATCAAGAACCTTAATTTGGAAAAAACTAAGGTTTATGATTCATTAATATTTACAAATGTTAAATATTATTCAATGTTACGCAAATGTAAAAGTAAAGTCAATTTGAAAATGTCTAATTAGTAAGAATAGCAAAACAATTGTTTTCTAAATGAAACAAACGCTGGCGCTATACGGCGGCGGATTGACGAAAGACTATTTATTAGCGAACTTTTTTTATGCATGAACAGTTTCAAACTGTTTCAAGCAAAAATAAACCTTATACCATATGACAAGAGCACATGGTACTTCGTAGGTCTATTCGGCCATATGATAGTAATAAGACGGCAGTTCAACCATTTTAAGTAAAATTAAACAATAAGACAAACGCCTTGTTTTTTTTAACAGGAGACTTGTTTTCCAGAAATTTATTTACAACTTGAGTTTGTGAGCAATCACAATGAGTGCTATTATTTGTTACTTATTAGACTATTTTTTCACAACATGATTGTGAGACAAAGGAAAACACGTCCGTACAGTTCAACCATTTATTACGAGAGAGAGAGGTCACAAACTACCTTCCTTATGCTAACAATAAGCTTACCCTACATTACACCTCCACCCTTATTCTAAACGTACTTAAACTAATATAAAATAAAGCACATATCACTTAACTAACTTACAACTAATCAAAATCAAATCCATAACGTCGCGGGGCCCTACGAGTTCTAGGCGGGTTGGGGCGCTCTCTCGCCGTCTCGGAGCCGCGGGCGCCGGCTGCGGGGCGGGCGGGGGGCGCGGGGACGTCGCGGCGGGCGCGGACCCGGCCGCGGCCTCTCTGCCACTCGAACTGGCCTCTTCCTCCACCACTGGAGAGGAGCCATTCGGATACACTAGATAGGAACGTGATAATGAACCTCTTCCTCCTTCTGAAACATCCCGGTCTTCCCCTTCCCTATCCGGCTCCCCCGATCGTGGTCTTATCTGGTCGACATGTCTATGAATAAAGACTTTATCAGCCCCTAGAATATTATAGTCCGTTTCTCCTAGTCTGGAGTGTACTTCTCCTTTTAACCATTTTGTTTATTATATTTTAACCGACTGTTGTTTCGCGTTATTCATTAATATACTACTAGAGTTGAGCTCGCGCAGCATTTTTATCTATCTTTACTAAATTTTGAATAACGGATTGCAACTTAACTGTTGTGTGGAGAATATGAGTACAAATATAAATAAATCATTGTCAGAGACTGACATTGCCGAGCAAAGTAAGACAGTCACTCCACCTAACTTTGTCTCTCAACGTAGTAAAAGGAGAAGAGCAGATGATTTGGAGACAGAATTAGAAGCCTTTAAAGAAGAAATGAAATGCATGATTAAATCTTTGTTGACGAGGCACGAAAACGAACTTAAAAAAATTTCCCCTACGCTTATGGAAATTAAACAAACTAATTGTAACATAGAGAGCTCCATTGCCTTTCTTGCAGCGCAAAATGAAGAACTTAAAAAAAAAGTGGAGCAGTTCGAGATTCAAGCAAAGAAGACTTGTTTTCGGCTTAGCATCCAGTCGGGGAATTTTTCAAAGAATAATGGTTAACTTGTTAAAAGATATCGAGGGGGTCGTAGTATTTTTGGATGACGTTTTGATCGCTTCGGACACTATCGAAAACCATATACATACTTTACGTAAAGTGCTAGATAAATTGAAAGAGTACGGTCTTAAATTAAAAAGGGAAAAATGTGAATTTTTTGTAGAAAAAGTGAAATATTTGGGTTATGTAATGAATAAAGAGGGAATCCACCCCGATCCTGACAAGATAGAATCGATTCCGTTGATGTCACCACCCAAAGATATTTCGGAACTTCGGTCATTTTTAGGAATGGTCAATTTTTATAGCCGTTTCGTGACCAATTGGAGTACCATTTTACAGCCACGTTACGAACTACTAAAAAAAGACTCGACATGGAAATGGGGTAAATTAGAACAGCAGGCTTTCACTGTAGTTAAGAAACGTTTGAGTGACGCGGTCGCGCTGAGCCGCTACGAGCCGGGCGCGCCGTTAGTGGTGACGTGTGATGCCAGCGCGCGCGGGCTCGGCGCCGTGCTGGCGCAGCGCGACGCGGCCGGCCGCGAGCGCCCCGTCATGTGTGTGTCGCGCGCGCTCACCGCCGCGGAATGCAACTACAGTCAGATACAAAAGGAGGCGTTAGCTATTGTATTTGCTGTGAAAAAGTTTCACCAGTGTATTTACGGGCGACGGTTTACATTGCGGACGGATCATAAACCGTTAGTCACAATATTCGGTCCACACCAAGGTATTCCTAGCATGACGGCCAGTAGATTACAGAGATGGGCTTTAATATTAACAGCTTACGATTTCGATATCGAATACGTCTCAACTAATGATAATGTGGCGGATGCATTGTCGCGAATGATTTCTACCCATAAAGAGAGTAGGTCGGAGGAAAATCGAGAATTTCCGGAACAAACTTATTTACATTTCGCGTCAGAGGCCTTATTAATAGACAATAATAGTTTAAAGGCCAGTTCGAGTGGCAGAGAGGCCGCGGCCGGGTCCGCGCCCGCCGCGACGTCCCCGCGCCCCCCGCCCGCCCCGCAGCCGGCGCCCGCGGCTCCGAGCCCGGCGAGGGAGCGCCCCAACCCGCCTAGAACAACTCAGCATAGCTGGAAAACAATTCATTTACGGCATAAGATACATTCATGGCTGATTCGTTTAACCTGTTTACATTAAATTTTGGTACGCTGATATCAAGTTCTGACAACCACTGTCTGCCTAATAAAGTAGTAGTACCGTTATTAATAACATATAAGTCTAAAACTTTGCTAGACCGCCCATATGTCACATTAACCTCGCAGTAACCTAATGGCTTTATTTTTGTTCCATCATAAAAGGTTAGTGCTAAATCACATGGTAATAATGGTAAATGATTAAATGTATCTTCATACGTGGTTTTACTAATACACGACAACGCCGAGCCAGTGTCTATTTCCATGTTTAAGTTATGTCCACTCACTAATAAACACAAACTCACCGGCTTGTACTGTGACAGCGACATTTGCATCACCGGTTCTTCCTCGGGTGTCTCGTGGTACTCACTCAATGTCGCCCCATCGTCTGCATTGACATAATTTGTTTTCGGTCTCTGATTATGTCCTCCGCGACCGCTGTTCCGGCTTTTCTTTCCAAAGCCCTGTACATTCGCCGCGTTTCCGTTGTAGGCGCCCGGTGCCACCGACTGGTTATTTGTGAAACACACGCGTCGTAGGTGGCCCATCACGCCACACTTGCTGCATATGTAGGTTCTGAACTTGCACTCGCTGGCAACATGGTCAACACCTCCGCAAGCTCCGCATAGCGATCCGCGCACCTCCGCGCGGCCCGCGCCGACGCCGCCGCCAACGCCTCCCGCCACTGCGCTGTGCCGGGTATGGCGGGCTCGCTGGCCGACGCGCATGGCGTTCAGCCCCCCGTTTGCCCCGCCGCCGCCCTCGCCGCGCAGCTGACCCGCGGCCGGCGATGACGTCACCGCTGCGCCCGACTCCACGAGCGCCGCGTCCCGCTCCGCTGCCTCCAGCGATCCCGCTAAAATCACTGCCTTGTCATAGGACAATAATTTTTCTTCCGCGAATAATCTCTGCCGTATGACGTTACTTCGAAGTCCGCACACCAACTGATCCCGTAAATTGTCCTGTAGGACTGCACCGAATTCACAATGTCTAGATAGTTTCTTTAATGCCGCCACGTAATCACTGATCGATTCACTGTCTGTTTGTCTTCTTTGCCTAAAACGATAACGTTCCGCCATCGGAGATGGTTTCGGTTGCAAATGATTACGTAATAGTACAACTGCATCCAAATACGTAAGTTCCGTGGGTTTCTTAGGACTCGCGAGGGTGGATAACAGTTCATACGCACTTTCACCCATAGCCGCGATCAAGGTCGGCAATTTAATTTCGTCCTTCACTGAATTTGCCACAAAATACATTTCTAGCCGCTCCACGTAAGCAGTCCAGTTACCGGTTTTCACGTCAAACTCACTAATCTTTCCGACCAACATTTTGCACGCTGATTGTTCGCAGTCTAAATTTTCCGTATTTTCTATTTTCACGTATTTTTCGCCGATTTTCACCATTAAAATCCTCGTCGCCAGTGGGACAAAGGAAAACACGTCCGTACAGTTCAACCATTTATTACGAGAGAGAGAGAGGTCACAAACTACCTTCCTTATGCTAACAATAAGCTTACCCTACATTACAGATTGAAAACCCACAAAGTAAAAAAAGTACAATGTACAAGTTAAAAAAAGGTTGTCAACCCCTAAAAATTTAGAATTTGCAAAATATGCAGAAACGAAGCTGCAGGCATGAACTACTTGCAAAATAATGAATATTTTGTTCTGGATAAATTTTCCAACGATTTGGGCGAGTTATAATGATTTTTAAAAAGACACGACTCGTGTGTCATACGCCACACACAAAAGTAATCGATGGCACGCTTGGCGTGTCATCCGCACTGAACCGGTTAATTCATGATTTATATAATTTATGTAACTCTAAAAATAATAAATAAACAAATAATATTGTTACGGCCTACGGCTGCTCCCTTAAAGGATCCAATCCTCTGGGGCCCATGAGCAGAAGACTTCCCGAGCAAACGTAGGTCGGGCCTCAATGTGGCCACGTGGAATCTCTCTAATTACACTAAAATATATGGTGGAGCGTTATACTACGGCCAGTCGACCAGCAGAGGAATTAGGCGGAGTTTACTTACCTATATCCAAGGCGACTGGTCCCTCCGGAGTCGGTCAGGTCACATGTGGTTGTGTAGTGAAAGGGAAATAAGTGATGTGTGTGTATCTGGGTGTGACTGATGGTGATTGAACCTAGACCTTGGCCGTCGGCAGCAGCCCGAGCGTCGACACCGCTCCAACTTGAGGGGGCTTCCGAGGTTGTCCACCGTCACTTTCTGCTTTCGTCACGTTGACAGTCAATTAACTCTATCGTACGATTAACTAACTTACAGAAGCCACTAACTATCGCGGGGTATAAGGTTACCGCACAAGCACGGAGTTTCTGGATCAAAGGTCACTACCGTTTCGCGTTGCAACAGTTAGTTCTAGAATACAGAGGCCGCACTAGCTAATATTGTCGAATGCACTTATACAGATTCTGAGTCGGACCCAATAAGTCCCGGGGAAGCTCTCCAGTAAGGATACGCGCCTCAAAATTCCTAGACCGTATTTTTACTGTCCGCGCTTAATTATTCAGAGTTCCCGCGCTTAATTGGCAGCGTGCCAATCGTGAGCACTGTTTAGGACCGCTGACTGCTGAGCCTTTTCACTCGCGACCCGCGCGCCACTGCCACGCGCGGCCGAACTTCAAACCAGTTCGCACCGAGCCGAGTGCCCTCTGGCGTCGATTCCGACAACAGAGTTTTGCGCGAACAAATATATTAAAAAATGTATTCAAATATTCAAATTATTTGGACATTTTTACAGATTATTCATAGCATGAATTTGAATCATCCAAACACTATGATAAAGTTGAGACATTGTCAAACGTAAAAGTTGATCCAATTACATTTTTATATTTTGCTTTGTTTTGTAAGATTCTAATTTAAATTATAAGGCTAAAGAACTATACATGTTGTAATTAAATATAGATAACCTCATAATTCTTTTAATTTATGTAAAAGGTTATTTTAAATCATGTATGTACACTTGTCCAAAGTTATTGCTGAATAATTAATGTGATATGTCAAAAGGTATTTCTTAGATTTGCTTAAGTATAATGATAAACTTCTCCTAGCCAATTTGAATCATGTTGATGATAATCTGCATATTGTACACACAATGTACCCAGTGCAAAACTTTCATTTGTAATGAGTACCAAAACATAACATCTTAAAACTCTTTGATAGTTCGTTCATAAATAATGAGCCTTAATTGTCTTCAATATGACTGACATTGTAAATCAAGCCTATCTAAGTTTATTTTAAATAAAAGTTTATTGTTTTTTTGTAAACATGTTTTTTATTGGGGTGCACAACATGTCCAGAGGATACTGTTGCTTAGATTCTAATATGGGTGCGGTTCTAGAGTTTATCAAGTATCATTAGATACTAAGATGGGCATAGTTGATGTTCCTTTTATTCAAATTCTGGTTAAGATCAGCTAAATAAATATAAACACTAAACTAAAACCTCTGGCTCTTAATAATAACATTAATTTTTTATACAGATAACTTCAGAAGATTTTAGCTATTACGACTTCATATTTGGAATGGATGAATCAAATATGAAAGACCTAAATAAGAGAGCACCAAAAGGCAGTAAAGCTAAATTACTTCTCTTGGGAGATTTTGACCCACAAGGTGACCGAATTATCAGAGATCCTTATTATGTAAGTAATAATTAAATTTAATTGATTCTAATAGTTAGTATATGCACTGTAAAGGTAGTTTAAGAGAATCCATCTAAATACTTCAACCCACGGGTGTCATAAGAAACAACTATGTGAAATGCTAGAAAAATTATTTGGGTATCTGTAGATGGTGGTATAACAATCTCTGACATCAGAAGAAAATTACCCAGACTGGCAATTTATCATCTAAGCATTTGGTTTTGGTGCTGATGCAGGGCTACAGGTTCAAATTCTACATGGAAGAAATATTTTTAGGGCCTACAAATAATTGTTCCCAGTCTGGAGGCGTGTTTCTACAATTTATGTATGTGAACGGCCTTCATACAGAAGAATAACATACTGTGGGTGTATTTAAAAAAGTAATACTGCAACATTAAAGGTGATGAAGTCTGGCACTACAATTGTTTAATAAGTGAAATAAAAATGGGGGGCCTCTGTCAAGTGGAAATGAATTTTAGTATATGAATTGAGGGTAAGAATAAAAAGAAGTAGGTATAACCTCCTCAGATAAGAAAGAGACTAAAATATCACCTATATTTTTCTCTTGCACACTGTAACTGTCTATAGTCGTAACCCTGTGTGCAATAAAATATTCACATCACTCTCACGACAAAATACAGTTTCTAATCTGCAGTTTGCAGTGGTTTTTTGATATTTAGTTTACTTTATTAAGTTTTCCTCATCCAGGTTCCATTTCAGTATCTAATCTTCTTGATAAAATCCAAATGCCTTCAATACCCCCAGACCCAGTCTAGTGGAGGCTACCGACAACGACAATTTGCTTAGTTCTGGTTCCATTTTGCATTTTTATTTTACCGATACAATGTTCTCACATACTTTCTGGCGAGTGTAAGTTTGATAAATTTTGTGATCCATATTAGACACATCGATATTAGCTAAAAATGAGTTTAAATCTAATTGACCCAACGTTGATGAAAACTGAGCCAATATTGATGGTGCTCTTTTGTATTGCAATGGTTTGAAAACATCATTCAACACCAGGGGTATGTTTTCAAACAGATTTTCAGAAATATTTGAGCCTATGTTCTCCTGCTGTTCAGATTCACAATCGCTTTGGCACAATTGCATAATTCTATTTATTCCGCCTTTTAACCTAGTCATATTTTTTTTGTTCTAAAAATTTATAATTAGTATTAATGAAAACCTTATATGTCGAGTTTTGTTGATTAACCGATTCGTTGCGGCACCTATTTTCGACAACTTTTAGCTGTGGCGGCAACAAATATTTCATGACACTCCTGGCGTGTCAAGCTCCACAGAAGTTAATGACACGCTTGTTGTGCCATCAGCCATGTGTAAAAATAATTTTCTTTTTTATGCTTTTTCACTTGTTTAGACCTAATTAAGTTTAGTTGACATCAAACATCAGTTACAAACGGAAATACTTGTTTTTAGTGGGTAACTAGGTGTTTTTCTACGCGTTTTCTTTGAAATTGAGAGTAAGTGACTTTTTTATGCAGAGATTACAAACCTTTTGTACTATTTTTTGTTTTATAAAAAAATCATTTATATAAGTAGGTACAGCTAAATCACCCTGGAACACCTTGTTTTTATTAAATTAAATTTTGACCTAATAATAACATTTGTAAATATCAAACAATCAAGAACCTTAATTTAGAAAAAAATAAGGTTTATGTTCATTGATATTTAGAAATTTTAGATATTATTTAATGTAATACAAATGTAAAAGTAAAGTCAATTTGAAAATGTCTAAGTAGTAAGAATAGCTAAACAAGTGTTTTCAAAAGGATAAAAACGCTATACGGCGGCGGATTGACAAAAGACTATTTATTGGCGAACTTTTTTTATGTTCATGCTGGTTTCGAACTGTTTCAAGCAAAAATAACCTTATACCATATCACAAGAGCACATGGTACTTCGTAGGTCTATTCGGCCATATGATAGTAATAAGACGGCAGTTCAACCATTTTAAGCAAAATTAAACAATAAGACAAACGCATTGTTTTTTTTTTAAACAGGAGACTTGTTTTCCAGAGATTTATTTACAACTTGAATTTTTGAGCGATCGCAATGAGTGCTATTATTTGTTACTTATTAGACTATTTTTCCACAATATGATTTAAAACCCACAAAGTAAAAAGAGTACCATGTACAAGTTAAAGAAAGGTTGACAAAAAAATTTTCAAATTTTCAAAATATCCAGAAACGAAGCTGTAGGCATGAACTTGTTGCAAAATAATGAATATTTTGTTCTTAATGAATTTTCCAAAAACGCAATTTGAGCGAGTTATAACGATTTTTAAAGAGACACGACTCGCGTGTCATACGCCACACACAAAAATAATTGATTCATTCGCACTGAACCGGTTAAGCTTCTTTATATTGAATGGGGGAGGGCCCCTTCCGATGAGTTTGTCACGGGCCTCTAACAGTATAGTTACACCACTGAATATGAGTTTCCAGTTCTCTACACTTATTTTTTTTTATAAACGTTACCTCCCCACTAGGATTTTCTCCTTTATCGTGGGGGCAGTTTATATACATAAATTTCACAATGACAAACATCTAGACCCGGAACAATTATTTATAGGCCATTTAAATACTTGTACCATGCAGGATTCGAACCCGCGGCTCTTATCGCTGCTACTCATTTCTAAGGCACTGCACCACATAGCCGTTATATAGGCACTCACAATAGGATGCAAAGCAGCATTAAGCATTTATTTGAGCTGGTATTGATCTTTGAAATTTTATAATAAAATATCATTTGTTTTACATTACTTACAGGACAGTGATTCAAAAGGATTTGAAAAGTGTTATCAACAAGCGGTAAGGTGTTCTAAAGGATTCTTAGATCAGTTGGCAGCAGGAAAAGTATAAAAGCAATAAAAAATGTTAACATTTAGAAATATTTATTAAAACACTGAAAATTATCTAATCTTTTTATTTTGCAAACTATGATTAACAAATTTTTTACTACGCTATCCATATAAAAGTCTGATAATCCATCGCGTCATTACTACGCGGCGTAGCCTACGCCTATCGTTTTCTATTGAAAATACAATTTTAATGAATATTTTGATAAGTAAACTTTTTTCAGAGGTAAATTGTCCTTTCAATATAGGGTCAGTACAGTCCATGCCAGACTGATGGAGTGCAAGGTTTTACACGGTCAATCAAGATTGACATAAAACATTAAAACACAACAGAAAAAGTTGTGTTGTTATATTATCCTTAATTATTAAGAAAATCATAGAAAGAAACCGGTGATATAAACAGTCGTTACAAAAAAAGGAATTATACACATCTGAATTAAATAAAGGAAATGAGATTTAATTAATTTTTCATTCATTGCAGTCCATCAAAAATACTGCTGAAATTAGACTTCCCTCATATTTGCTATAATTCACACATTGCAGTTTTTTATTAAGTAATTTTTTATTTATCAGGAAGATACTGCTATTCATCTTCTGTTTCAGTTTCCCAGTATCACCTTTTATGACACCCATGGGATGATATGTGGTAGTGGTTTCTTTTACTCTGCCCGGTTAAATGGATATTTGTGTTTATTTTATTTGTAATACCTTTAATTTTTGACTGAGTTTATCCCATAGATTACCTCCTAATAGATTCCGCATACAGGGCCACAAACGCGCGCAACACATACTTGCTGTAGCTAGCATACGAAGTGACACAACATCAGTATCAACCAAGTTTGTGATCCATAGGCACGTCCGAGTTTTTGACAGTTTAAAAATAGTTTTGTATCCAAAATACATTACAAATGGCTTCTTGTGCAGTGAAATGATATGGCAAGTCAGCTAAGATATCTAGTTATCAAAAAGATGGCATAACATTTTCACCGGTAAGTAAATTCTATTCTTATCATGTTAACCTATTTCAAATGCACCGGAGATCAACCCGTTGATGTTTTTTTGAAATGTCCCTTTCACTCGTTACGTAAATTACAATAGTTGTCTTTGTCTAACAACAGCACGTGTATCGATAGTGTTGTGATTTTTAAGTCAATATTTGTTTGGTCTTTGGTCCTCGTTTAATTTTTTTTTAAGTCATATTATTTTATAAAAATAATGACGTATCATTGTGGTATCTACACATATGTTATAGGTTTCCTAAATGTCCCGAAAGGAAAAAGATGTGGATTGACCCAACTTGTCGAGGGGACGAATGGTTTCCCACCAAAAATAGTGTGCTATGCTAAAGACACTTCACAGACGAAAATTTTCATATTACGAAAACCATAGGATCTGTTGGATTCCGCTAACGTGGTGGCGCCGGTAACATGTGGCCGTGGACATGGCACCAATAATGGACGAAAAAAACTTATCAACCTTATAATAAGGGTAGAAATGGTTTTCTAGAAATGGCAGCACTTTAGACATAGACAGCCAACATCCCTCTGTCATATTGACAGAGAAAATTAATTTCGGCCATTTTGTTTCAAAATGGCGAGTTGAAGAAATTGTGCTCTGGAGTTTTTCAAATTTTATCCGGATTTCTTAAAGGAATCGTTAAGCAGGTTAGTCATTGTTTTTGTTCACAATGTCCTTTTTTAGATAGATATATGGACACGCTTTGATTTTATGTTTATCTTATAGTATTAGGCATATATTCGAGAAAGAGGTTATGTCACTCGATAATTTAAAAGTATTTTAGGGGGGGTGTCCATTACTGGATCCATTAATGGACATAAAACACATTTATGGACACGTGTCCATGGTTATTTAATTGTACTGAAGAGTAAATTATAAATAGTATTACCTCTTGAACATCGCCTGATATCATATGTCTTTAAAAAATAATAATCAAAGCACGTTTACCAATAATGGACACCATGTTATAATTGTATGGTTTTTTGCAATTCATAAGCGCGTGTTACCTTTATTTTTAGTTATATGTATACCTACAGATACATCTTCACACGACCTAGGACCACGCGCTCGTAGATTGTAAGAACTATCTAATTTGATTTCTTGTTTGGTTAGATGGCGCCTAAAAAAGATTATAAGCCTGAACAAATGGCTCACGCCATTGAGGCAGTGCGAAAGGAAGGACAATCAGTATCTGCAGCAGCTAAGCGATTTGGAGTGCCGAGAATTACTCTCCACAATAAAATCTCCGGTAAGAGCCCCATGGTATGCACTATGGGGCCTAGTACAGTCTTGACAACAGTAGAAGAAGATTTGCTTGTGAAATGGGCAATAGCAAGTGCCGAAAGACGATTTCCTATCTGTTACGGCCTACGGCTGCTCCCTTAAAGGATCCAATCTTCAAGGGCCCATGAGCTGAAGACCTCCCGAACAGACGTAGGTCGGGCCTCCTAAGGCCACGTGGAATCTCTCTAATTACACTAAATATATGGGGGAGCGCTATACTACGGCCAGTCGACCGGAAGGAATTTGGCGGAGTTCACTTACCTCTATCCAAGGCGACTGGTCCCTCCGGAGTCGGTCAGGTCGCATGTGGTTGTGTAGTGCAAGGGAAAGAATGGTGATGTGGTGTGTATCTGGGTGTGACTGATGGTGATTGAACCTAGACCTTAGCCGTCGGCAGCAGCCCGAGCGTCGACACCGCTCCAACTTGAGGGGGCCTTTCGAGGTTATCCACAGTCACTTTCTTGGTTCACCACGATGACAGTCACTTAACTCTATCGTACTATTAACTAGCTTACAGAAGCCACTAACTATCGCGGGGTATAAGGTTACCGCACAAAACCCGCCCGGAGTTTCTGGGTCAAAGGTCACTACCGTTTCGCGTGGCAATAGATAGTTCTAAATACAGAGGCCGCACCAGCTTACATTGTCGAATGCACTTATACAGATTCTGAGTCGGACCCAATAAGTCCCGGGAAAGGCTATCCAAACAGGGAATGCGCGTTATAATTCCTAGACAGGATATTTACTAGACGCCCTAACTATTCCGCGGTTCCCGCACAAAATTAACAGCGTGCAACCATTAGCACATCTGGCAGATGACTGACGCGCTTGCGACCCGCGCGCCACTGCCACGATCGGAAGAACTTCAGACCGGAATCGCGCCGAGCCGAGTGACATCTGGTGTCGATTCCGACAACAGAGTTTTGCGCGAACAAACCCCCGTCCCGGACATAAGGATTTAGGTCCGCGAGCAAACCGGTCAGCGGGACAAGGTCGAGACTGCAAGTTGCAAGACCGAATCTACAACCAAACTAGGCCACCTTAGGCAATCCATTAGGTCTTGCAACCCTAATCAACGCCTCAAAGATATCCCTAATGTGGCAAGCCGGAGGGTCAGCCTCCACTGGATGCCACTCCTGGGCATCGCAGCACTTTAATAAGTCCTGTACTGGACAGAAGTCCGACGACCTCTTTCAAACACCTACCTGTGCCTCTATGATTAGTTCCGCAATCCGACCGGATCAGCTCTGCAAACAGCGACGCTACACGAAGCTGCCCAGACAAATTTTGTGCCAGCAGTTGCTTCAGTGCAGAGCGCACCCACAAATTCCACATGACCGTCGTCTGTGGAGAGCCAAAAGAAACGCACAGATAGTCCCTAGTATGAATTTTCAACAAGTAGGCCTAGCCAGGCCACCCACCATAGTATCATTTACTAAAATAGTGTGGCAGCTGATTTCAATCTGATAATCTCCAAAACTAGCTAGCCTATTAGGCAAGTAGTCCTATGCTCATATTTCAACTAATTTTTCAAAAGCATCAATGTTCAACTACAGAATTAATTCAACCAAATTAATCACCGATGCGCATAGGTCAACTTGCAATTAAACAAAACAATAACGTAAGGGACAGCCCTACTTCTTAGAAAACAAAAATGATTAAACACTATCATAAACATAATTTTTCAAATAGCGCGCCATTCAATTTCAGATGAATTCAAATTTTCCTTTCAGCAAACAGACGCAAGAACTAAATACAGTGATTAAATATATGTACAAAACACATGCAGTAGCATTTATAAGAGTAGATTAAATTCAATCCTTTTAATTTAAACCGCTACAAATAGGAAAATTTCGCGGAAAGCTCAAAGCATTTTTTAATTTTAATTCAAAGTATTTTTTAACTAAGTGCTCGACCAAACCAAATCTAATACCCCTTGACAGCGTGATTCAACGCTCCAGGGGGGCCCTAATCTTCCCACCACCAAGGGGAGGCCACATGGCGTGAACCCGAGATAACTAGAGCACAACCTTTAACAGTTGCAACTCGGGTTGTACGCTTTCACTGAGGCCGTCGGCAACAGAACATTTTGACAAATGGACTGTTGACGGCTTAAGGCTCAGTGGAGGCGGCCGTGGTGGGAGCTAAGGCGGCAGCTAGACAGGGCCGCCTCCATCAAATGGGGAACAGTGGTACACCAGTCGCGGCCACTCAGCTAACGGAAGTGAGAAGGGTCCAGCGGACAGATGAGTGGCCGTGAAGTTCCTCTCCACACGCTGAGGGGGGGTGATGGCACCCCCGCCCCTGGGGGAATTACCCCCCGACTGGTCGGGGGAGGGGCCCCTTTCAAACTTAGGGGCCTGATGGCTGGCCGGCGGGCGCCGAGAGTCGCCCGGCAGAGGGCGTGGCTGAGCGCCCCCGCCCGTGGGGGTCGAGGGCCTGGCAGAGCCCCGAGAGGAGACGCCGTTCGCACTCAGGCACAAAACGGCATGATGATTGCCCTGGCAATGCAGACAGGGCCGTCGATGCGGACAGTCTCGCTGGAGGTGCCCTCCCAGATATGACCAGCACCAGCGGCGCTCCTTGGCGATAGTTCGCCTCGTTGGAACCGGCTTACCTAATAATTTCGGGCACGACGTTACCCGATGATCAGATGCTCGACAATAGGAGCAGGGGGGGGTTGACGACGACTTGCCTGGAGGA